ACACTCGGCCTTGCTCAGAACCGGACAGTCGCCGGCGTCCTGCCCCACGCGGCGACGAGGCTCATCCTGTCCAGTGCCCTGCCGGCAGCGTGAGACTAAAAGGAAGGAGAAGCCACTCGCGGAGGTGTCCTCCTTCGGGAGCCATCGCCTTTGTGTTTCTGTCTTCTCGCGGAGGCCAGTGCAGGAGGCGCTGGTGAGGCTGTACCGAGACCAGGCGTGGGGGGTGCCCGTTGGCTTGAAGTCACGCGGAGCTGCAGCTGACCGATGCCAGGCAAGAACAGGAAGGTCCGTGTCCGTCTTCTTCGCAGCGAGCCCACTGAGAAAAGCACCCTAAAGAGAAGAAATTAGGAGCGGCGGATTTTTCTTCTTTTTGGCCTTCTGATGCCAGGCGAATGTTTCTGCTGCCAGCATTTGTGTTCACTGAAGGAGAAGGCGTACCTGTGCGCTCTCATGCACAGGGTCTTTCTCCTTAGTTAGTATTGGAAAAGACAATGGTGACAGCCCGTGCCGACCTCCGGCGAGTTTTGCTTCGCCCCTGTTTCGCTTCGGCGTGCGAGCGCATTCGATGGCCCTCGCCGGCTCGGCACCTCCGGTGCGTCCGCAAGAAGCACCTGCGGTGTTCCCGGTCTCCGTGGCTTTCCGCTAGCCGGATCTGCCTCTACTCCTGGACACTCAGGGTGGCCTCCCGGAGGCCGGAGCAGCGGCGAATGTGTGCGCCTGATCTGCGTGGTGTGGGTTCACGGTCCACGTGTGCACGCGATCGTGGGTCTTCCAGTTCCTTGACCCTCTGGATTCTTCCACAGCCTCTGTTGAGTCTGTGGAGACTGACTTGTTGAGAGCCGGGCCGAGAGATCACGGAGAGGCCGTCACATCCACGGTGGAAAGAACAGTGTGGAGAGGTGGGAACGGGGAAGAATTTTCACAAAACGCTGCTTGTTTCGAGTTCGAATGAGAAAGCCGGTGGCACATCGGCTGTGTCTGCGTGAGGCTCTCGCTCTCTCGCTGGCCGGGGCTCTCCCGGACCTCTGCTGCAGGGGGCCCCCACCCCACCCCACCTCTGTACCAGAAGCCCCCATTTAAGGCCGCTTGCTGTGGCCTGGTCATCTTCCCTGTCCTGCCCTAACGTCCCTCCTAGCGGTGGTGTTACCACGTGGGAGTGTCTGGGCTGCCTCCGTCTAAGCTAATCTCGCTCTGAGTGGGGCCCGGGGGTACCCAGATCCACCTGGGGGGTCATTCTGATGAGCACATCTTCACCTCCCAGGGTGCGAGGCAGAAATGATCCAGTGAAAGTGTGTCAAGATGCGGGAGCCCCTCCTCTCCATGGCATTTTTTATCCCCTAAAAAGCACAGCCGGAAACTGGCTCTCCACTTGGCCTTTTTCTGTGAAGTCCCCCGTGAAGTGCAGGGCACTGCTCCCAGCGAGGCGGACTGACGACGGGGGGTGCCCACACGCAGGTGACCCCAGCTGTCTGCTGGGGACCGAGAGGCCGTGGGCCCAGGTGTCCACCAGGTGGTGATTTCAGTCTGCTCCTGCGGCAGCTAGGCCCCTGGCCGGGAAGCTTTGAAAAGGAGGCTATCAGTGTCCATGTATCACGCCGGTGTTCTAACCAGTAAAGAAATTCCCCCAGTCTTTTTAACTTTATAAGGTCTATTCCCCCGTGGGCTATGCAGAAAATGTCCAGGTACCAGATGCTTAGGTGTGGCAATGCTATTTTTTTTTTTTTCAATTTGGTCTTCAAAAGATTACGTGCAGTTATGTACACCTGATAATCTGTGGTGGGGAAGGCGCTGGACTGGCCTGGAAGGAGGGTGATACAAAGGACACCTAAATTTAAGGAGATGATTTATTTCTGCTCTTTCTCGAGTTAAAAATTCCCAATATATTCAAATCAGCAATAAAAATAACTGCAAAGCTGTCTCCAGAAAGGAAAATAGATTTTATTCTCTAGCATTAGAATGCCTTCTTGGTTTTCAAAGTCAGCAGCTGAGCCTTTAAGAGCTTCCTGGGAGCTGGCTGTGGTGGTCGAAATTAGAATATTAATCTTCTGGTTGAATTTCTGGGTTCACTGCCCACAATGAGGCCTGGTCTGGCACTGGACACCTTAGCGGTGCCATGGCTCAAAGTGGGGGCAGGAGCGTCCCAGGAATCCGAATCTGCCCAAGTTAGTTTTCAAGTCACGTGGCATTGTTGTGTATTACATTGGCTCTAGAGTTTACCCTCTGAAGTTTCAGTGGTGCCAACATCTTGACATGGGGTTCCCTGTGACAGCTGAGATCTGCTTACTTGGGCAACCCCCCCCCCCACAGGGGACCCCCCTACCTCCATTTTAAAGTTTGGCCTGGGCCCGCCACCTTCCACTTCCCCCAAACCAGCAGGCCTGAGGCTGCAAGACTGGCTTGTTCCCCGCCACTCCAGGGCTTTGATGGCCGCTCCCTCCCACCCACCCCACCCCAGGAATAAAAAGTGTCCGCTGCTGAAGATGCAAAGCAGCCTCATGCTCTCTACACAGCTTGCCTGGGCGTGGAGAGTCTGCAGCTGGTAAACTCCAGGGGTGGTTTATGTGAGCTCCTTTAGAGCTTGCATTGGACAGGTGTTGGTGCACCTGGGGGCCGGCCCTGCCTACGGCTCTGATGTTCAGAAAAGGCATAGACCTCCAGATGGAAGCAGAGCTTGCCCGAGCGTCTGAGACACCCCCCCCCTCCAGGCATGGGCTGGGGTGGAGCGTCCTGGTGAGGCTTTGCACAGACACAGCTTCAGACTCTGCTCTGCCTGACACTTTCCACCCAGCCTCCTCTTCCCCTTCCAGGAACTCCACTTTGATAGGTTTTCTTGTGATGTGAATCTTTGACCCTTTTTCTTCTCTCAGAATTAAAACAAACAGGTCTACAGGCCCTCCCTGGGGGCGCAGCGGGTTAAAGCGCAGCACTGAGAAGCATGAGGAGTTCGCTCCCCGCCCCACAGGTGACCCACATGGCGCGGCAGACCTCTCCTGACCCGCCCGCTGCTCCCCTCAGCAGTGGACTTTGTCCATCTGCCTGTTCTGCTCCCCGCTCTGCCTCTGGCGAAGCCTCTCACTGAATCCTCTTACTGCTCCTGCACCCCTGGCCTGTACTCTGGCTCTGTAGGCGTAAATAAATAAATCTTTAAAAAAAACCCAAACAGATCTATAGCCCCCGCCGCCCGCCTGTGCCCTTCAGGTGTGTGTGTGTGTGTGCGTGTGTGTGTGTGTGTGTGTGTGTGTCATCTGTCAGCGCAGGGCAAGCTTTGAGCGCGGGTGGGTGATTCAGCTTGGACTCTGGTACGCGCCTGCCTCCTGGTGCGTTCGTGTGTATCTGGATCGGAAAATACTGAGATTCTGCTTTAAGTAAACCGAAACTTCGACGGCCAGGCAAATAAAGACGTGCTTTCCCTCTTTTCTCCATGAGAACATATCCTAACTTTTGAGAAAGAACGTACGATAAAACTTGAACCATTAAGTGAGAACCATAGAGCTGGATCTGAGCTTAGCCAGAAACAGGGCTGCCCACGGCCCCACATGCAAAAGGCAGCCCGGTGGGGTCGAATTGAGGAGGGAGAAGGGACAGAGGAGGGTGAAGAAGTGGGCTGAACGGTGGCTTGAAGATTTACAGAAAACATGTGAAGCTTCTGGCATGTGAATTTCCACATACTTCCTCAAAAGTCTTCCAAGAGATTCAGTCTACTTCTTACTTAGGAAAAACAAAACACACACTGTGGCCACTGTTGCCCAGTTTCCCAGGGGTCCAGTGTGCGCAGTAGCGAAGAGGGAGACGGCACTGGGGGTCTGAGCCCGGGAGGAGCACCGGCGACTCAGGTGGGCGGCGGAAGGAGGTGGGGGGACCCAGGACTCAGGCCTGCCCCCGCGCCCGCCCGGCCCGGACGCCCGGCTTTTGCCGACCCGCCGCTGGGCAAACGCGCCACCCAGCCCCAGATTTCCCTTGGGACTTCTTTAGGCCCGAAGCCCGTCCCCTTTGCGGACCCCCTGTAAGGACGGCGTGAGGAGGCCGGCGTGATAAACAGGGCTCTCGCTGCGGAAATGTGTGTGAGAGGTGTTTCTGTTCCTTGTGCCTTGAACTTCAGAGGAATGAGAATGTCAAGCCTCCCTCCTCTTCTTCTCTGGAACTTGACCTGCAATTTAAATCCTTCTCCTCTGCAAAGAAGTACCGGGGAACCTATCCTTTTACAGCTTTAGTTACCAAGCCATTCAGAGAACTCGGTGTCCTGAAGAGGCAGAACAATGCCCCGTTTTAGGGAGAGGAGGGCAGGCTGTTGCAGGGAGATCTGGAGAGGGCGAGATGTTCTGTCCTCCTCCTCCAGTGGGGAGGGGAAGCTGAGAGCCAGCGGGCTCTCACCTCCCCCGCCCCCGTGCGGGCCCACGGGCGCCCCTCTGTCTGACCACACGCTCCCCGCACAGGTGTCTGGGGAGGGGCTGGGCCAGGCCCGCCTCGGTAGCCCCAACAGAGACCTGCACCCCCCTCCCCTGCTGGGGCAGAAATGATGCTGGGAAAGAATCATCGGGGTGTGGGAGTGTTTACAGGACTTGGATGCCTGACAGACAGGGCGCATCGGGCTGATTGTTCTGGAAGCAGGAAATGTGCATTACAGGAAGCAGGTGCTGTGTGGTGATTGCCCCGCTCCCAGAGACTGTGCTGACCGCGCTGCTCGCTGCAGCCCGACCCGGAACAGCCCGGGGCCCTGGGCAAGACGCTGCCCCGCCCCACCCCACCCCACCCCGGAGACTAAGACGGGGTGGCCGAGGCCGAGGCAGGCGGGCTCCGGCGGCCGGTGGGGCCATCTTTCTTTCTTTCTTTTTGTTTTAATTTCTGACGTTCAGCATCCCATACTTTCAGAAAACGTGTGACTAAGACCGAGTTATTATTTTCCCAGTTGTTTTCAGACATTTCATGTTCATGTAACCTTGGCTTGTTGAGTTCCTGATTTTTCTTTATTTTTTTGTTTTGTCCATTTTATTTTTAATCAGCTACATCAAATGGGTCTTTGGAGGGCCTGGATAACCAGGAGGGAGGGGTGTGCCAGACAAGAGCCATGAAGATCCTCATGAAAGTTGGACAAGGTAAAGACCTGCTCCTCATTCCGCCCGCCAGCGGGCGGGCCCCGGCCGCGCTCCGCTCCAGTCTCACGCTCACTCGCTCGCTCGCTCCGCACCTGGCGCCTTCACTAGCCACAGGCCCCACTAAGTCAGGCCAGCCGGGTGTGCGGAGGGGTTGCCACATACGTAGCGACCTATTTGTATGTATTCTTCTCCTCATTAAAGGCAAAGCACCTCTTTGGCTCCCATTAGTATATCCAGACGAGAATGAAGTTTTGACAGTTTTGCTCACTTCTGCATCTTGACCACAGAAGACTTGGCTTATTGAGCTTTTCCCAGACAGGTGACCTGCTGTCCAGAAAGCAGCTTTCTTCTCCTTAGAGTCGAACTGTCATCTCAGGGCCCAAGCCGTGGAGGCGTCCCGTAGCTTCCACTCGTGGCCTCGCGTTGTGCAGCTCTGAGAGAACTAGCATGATGGCTTTGTGTGGAAAGGAGCACTCGGGTCTCCAGCTCGCAGCCCTCTGCTCAGGCATCTCAGGCTCGTTGCTATGCAAGCCTTGAGAGGTGTCTCCTGCTGCTAACTAGAGCCGCCCTCCTGTGCCCTAATAACCCAGGTTTTTTTGTGTAGATGCGACCTCCAGTTCGGCTGGGTCAGCCAGGCATAAAGACCCAACCAGACGCCCGGAGCTAGAAGCTGGTACAAATGGAAGAAGTTCAACCACAAGCCCCTTTGTCAAGCCAAATCCAGGTAAGGCGCGGGGCCCTGTGCGCTTCGGCTCTGCTTATCGATTGGGGGGGTGGGGGGTGGGGGGCAGAACGGGGGCGGGCTTGTGGTCCCGACATCGGGCCACTCTGCTCTTGGACGTGAGAGCCACTCAGTGTGAGCACACGGGAGCGGCCGCAGCGTCTGAGCACCACGGCCAGGCCGCCGGCGCCCCATGCCCAGTGCAGGCGGGTCTGCTCTGCGCCTTCCCTGCGGGCACGGACCCCTTCGGATGAGATTTTCAAAGTTGCACGATCCCTTTTGCCCGGGTGTTTTCCACTGCACTTTGCCCTCCATCTTCAGTGTCCAATAACCCACGCGGTGGTCGCTGGCCGACCGAGCCTGCCGCAGCAGAGACAGCCGTCCACCGCCGGGCTGCGCTGCCTGGCACCTGGGCCCGGCTGGCCCTGCAGTCCCGGAGTGGCTCGGGGGGCGCGGAGGGCCTGCGGGGACGTGGTCTATGTGGGGTCTGCGCCCCCAGGCCTCCAGGAGGGGCCCTCATTTCTAACTTCCAGTGACGGGACATGTCAGATGCTTGTGACAAAGCGATAACCGGATCGTAGAATGTTGCGGGCAGTTTCTAAGTGCGTAGCCCCGGGTTGGCCGTCTCTGCAGCCTCCCAGGTGTATTTTAGTGCAAATCAAATAACACAAGGAGCCGGGCCGGCCCTTCCCAGCGGCCCGCAGGCCCTGTCTGGGAGCAGGCAGGGGCTGTCCAGCTCCTGAGGGCCACCGACCGGAGCAGCTGGGCTGACG